AGAGGTAAGAGATATATAGATTGATTCTTGAAATTCTAGACTTGGCAGGGGGGGACTGCTGATCCAGTGTCCAAGAGTCCAAGTCCAAGTAGAAAATGGTTTGACCGTTTGACCGTGTGATTTGACTGGAAGCATTCCACTTAAATAGTTTCAAGTTTGACTTGAGAAATTGGAAAAATCAAACATCGAATGAAATGATTCAATTACCTGGAAGCCTGGAAAGAAGGGAAAATTCAAGTTGGAAATTTGAAGTGCTACTAGTGGCTAGTGGCTAGTGGACAGCAGAGACAGCAGCGCTACAGCCACAGCTGAACAGCTGTGAAAGCACCCAGAGCAGGGACAGGTGATTTATCATTAATGTCCTTGGTAAAAATGGTTTGGATTGGTATTGCCATTGGTATACCATTGATTATTATCATTTACCTGTTAAATGGGTTTCTTCAAACTTCTAACTTCTCTATTAATCAACCAACCAATGGGAAAAGGACATCTATATGACAAATCACAAGTCAGTCTCAGTCTCAGTCGGAGTCGCCGTTCAGTGCTTCGGCTTCGACTTAGCCTTCGAAATTGCACCTATCAGGGACCCAGCTTGCAGCCCGGGCAGCCCGAGCTAGCAACTATATTGAGCCACGGTCAATATTTAGTATATAGCCATATGGCTCTCTCAAAGTCATCAATGTTAGTCGTCAATGTTTAAAAATTTTTGAAGAGTGTATTGTGTATGTATTATCGTTTTCCGATAAGGCCCCCGCTCAATTTCCAAAAAGTAAAGATGTCTTGTCTTGAATTCGAATATACTACTTTCCAATTACGGTACATCTTGCCACCCACATAATATAACTCAGATGATAGATTTCACCATGCCATGCCCAAACACAAAAACCGAACTAACCCAACCCAACCCAACCCAAGTTAACCCAAGTGAGTCAGGGCCAGGGCCAGGGCCGGGCCAGTACAAAAAGCGACTGCAACACAAACCGCGCCTGACTTGGCTGCCGAGGATTGAGCCCAGAAGGCATCCAAAGATGATTGATCAGCAGGGTCTTGGATGTCCTGTCCGGCAGGAAGGTGACAGTCGACTCGATGTGACACAGTGACACATAACACAGGTGATCCAGGCTCCAGGTAACACAAACAGACAGGACGGGGACACACAGTGTGTGTGACACACACAGTCACACAGCAACAAAAGGATTGGCCGGCCTTTAAGTCTTTAGAGACTCACAACTCACAAGTCCCAAATGTGCAATGCATTGACTTCAAGGCTTCAAGACACAAAGATTCACACAAGTCAATGACTGACTGTCTCAGTTCAACTTCAACTTCAAGGCTGTCCTTCTTTTTCGCAGTCGCCGACGCAGTCTTCTTCTGCAACTGCTCCGGGCGGCGACTGCGCCAGTTCCATTCCTTCTGCTTCTGATCCTCTTTCTCCTTCGGCGCAGCAGGCTGCTCTCTCTCCTTCTGCGCAGCTTCTCCTGCATCCTTTTGCTGCTGATCCTCTTTCTCCTCATGCTGATCCGCGTTCTTCTTCGGCTCAGCTTCTCCCGCACCTTCATGCAGCTGATCCTCTTTCTCCTCAGGCTGCTGATCCTTGTTTGCCTTCGGCTCAGCTTCTCCTGCAGCCTCCTTCTGCTGATCCTCTTTCTCAACAGGCTGCTGCTGATCCTTGTTTGCCTTCAGCTCAGCTTCTCCTGCAGCCTCCTGCTGCTGATCCTCTTTCTCCTCAGGCTGCTGATCCGCGTTCTTCTTCGGCTCTGCAACCTCCTGGTGCTGATCCTCTTTCTCCTCAGGCTGCTGATCCTTGTTTGCCTTCAGCTCAGCTTCTCCTGCAGCCTCCTGCTGCTGATCCTCTTTCTCCTCAGGCTGCTGATCCGCTTTCTTCTTCGGCTCAGCTTCTCCTGCACCCTCTTGCAGCTGATCCTCTTTCTCCTCAGGCTGCTGCTGATCCTTGTTCTCCTTGGGCCCAGCTTCTCCTGCATCCTCTTGCAGCTGATCCTCTTTCTCCTCAGGCTGCTGCTGATCCTTGTTCTCCTTCGGCTCAGCTTCTCCTGCATCCTCCTGCTGCTGATCCTCTTTCTCCTCAGGCTGCTGATCCGCTTTCTTCTTCGGCTCAGCTTCTCCTGCACCCTCTTGCAGCTGATCCTCTTTCTCCTCTGGCTGCTGATCCTTGTTCTCCTTCGGCCCAGCTTCTCCTGCATCCTCCTGCTGCTGATCCTCTTTCTCCTCAGGCTGCTGATCCTTGTTCTCCTTCGGCCCAGCTTCTCCAGCCATGCCAGCCAGCTGAGCCAGGTTTGAAGAGTTCTTTTTTGAAGCCTTTGAAGCCTTTGAAGCCTTCGAAGCCACAGCTGGTTGTCCACCAAAGTCCTGAGAAAGGAGTGCTGCAAACTTCAAACCCCTGGGCCCCTGGGCCACAAATTGCTCGATATGGTTTTCCTTGGGCCTAGAATAGAATGGTCTGAGTCTGAATTCTGGATATATTAGTCTGGTAGCCGGCAGCTGAACTTGAATGGATAATGTATGTTAAGAAACAAGTGATTCTGACGTGCATGTGGTATGCGCTGCGCTGGTCCTTCGGATAGTCGTGTTCCATCTGCTTTTCCAGGGCGTCTTCCAAGTCACCTTGGTGGTCTTGGTGCTCGTCTTGTTGCTCCTTCTTGACATTTCCATTCCCTTCCTCCTCGTCCGAGTCAGAGTCCAGGGATGGCAGCTGAGTTGGGTCAGGATCATCCAACCCCTCCATGCTCTTTCGATCTTCAGTCCAAAGGATCTTCTGCCACCCTTTCAAGAGGGAGTTCCTCAGAGGTGAAGCAAAGCGAAGCACATCCATCAAACAGTCTTTACTATACTGCAGTATAGTCAGTATGTATAGTATAGTATTGGCTGTTCAGGCTGGACTGTCGCACATGTCACCCTACATGTTAAGGAAATGTGACAGTGACATACCTCATGGCTCATGACTCATGCAGTGTTCAGGCTGCACTGTCGCACATGTCACCCTACACATGTTAAGGAAATGTGACAGTGACATACCTCATGGCTCATGACTCATGCCTCTCATTTTTTTAAACTGACAAGCAATCCAAAAGCACGTATAGATTCCAGTGCGGGTTGCTAAATGGCCTTTTGTACAGGCCCGATTCCAGTGCAAGTTGCACTATAAGTTAAATGGCCTTTTGTACAGGCCCGATTCCAGTGCAAGTTGCACTATAAGTTAAATGGCCTTTTGTACAGGCCCGATTCCAGTGCGGGTTGCACTATACGTCAAGTGGCCTTTTGTACAGGCCCGATTCCAGTGCGTGTTGCGCTATACGTTATATGGCCTTTTGTACAGGCCCGATTCCAGTGCGAATTGCACAAAAAAACTGTTCCACACATGAAATGCGATTCCAAAAAGTGCTATATGGTGGCACCATAGCTGCTCCAGAATTTGTTTTCAACAAATCAGGAACGCGATTCCCACTTGGGATGCACATATATCGCCTGCATGGCCTGCAGTATTGTCGAAACCATGCCTGCATGAAAACAGTAAAGGGTTCCTGCAATTCACAATTGCAATCATGCACGTGCACAATTGGCATGAACACATTTTGTTTCAAATAGCTCAAAAACAGCAATTTCACAAAAAAAAATCATGTGTCCCAAGGAGCATCCATGCGTGATGGAACAGCAAAAAAGATCTTGACACTGACTGTACACTGACACAGCTGCTGCCAGATGCCAGTTGCAAAACAAACTTCAATGGAAAAAACTGTCATCCATGTATCTACTCGCATTGATTTGCATTCATCCATGGGTCAACTGACATCTGAAACTCGAACGTGTACTCAGCTGCTGCCAGATGCCAGTTGCAAAACAAACTTCAATGGAAACAAAACTGTCATCCAGTTATCTACTCGCATTGATTTGCATTCATCCACTTTATCTAGTCAACTGACATCTGAAACTCGAACGGGCACACAGCTGCCAGTTGCCATGCAGTTGCAAAACAAACTTCAATGGAAACATCTGTCATCCATGTATCTACTCGCATTGATTTGCATTCATCCAATCTATCTGTCAACTGACATCTGAAACTCCAACGTGCACACAGCTGCCAGCTGCAGTTGCAAAACAAACTTCAATGGAAAAAACTGTCATCCAGAATCCAGAATCCAGTTATCTACTCATTGATTTGCATTCATCCACTTTTTCTAGTCAACTGACATCTGAAACTCCAACGTGCACACAGCTGCCAGCTGCAGTTGCAAAACAAACTGCAATGGAAAAAAACTGTCATCCAGTTCTCTACATTGATTTGCATTCATCCATGGGTCAACTGACATCTGAAACTCGAACGTGTACGCAGCTGCTGCCAGATGCCAGTTGCAAAACAAACTTCAATGGAAACAAAACTGTCATCCAGTTATCTACTCGCATTGATTTGCATTCATCCAATCTATCTGTCAACTAACATCTGGCTCGAGCGTGCATGGGGGTCAGCAAAAAAAAGATCTTGACACTGTACACAGTTGCCAGTTGCCAGTTGCAAAGCATGGGGGTCATTGACTTCCAACATCTGCTCAAATTATCTGGTGGAAAAAGATACCTCTTCAGATTTATGCATGACTGCAGAAGGAAATCTGATCGATCAACGATGCAAAACATTGAACGGAAAAAGGGTTTGTTGATTTGATTTCTTCTATTCATCTGTTCATTCGATTTCATAAAAAAATGATTGATTCGAGTTTCTAATCGTTGCAGGTTAAACAAATGCATCAGCATAAATTAAGGAAAAAAAGGTCCAATGATTCCATTGCCAGCATCTGCATGTGGAAAGAACATTGTAATCTTGATCATCATCAATTGGAACTTTATAAAGGGCTCATTGATTTGCAAAACAATGTGCATAATGTGATAATGTGCATCCAATTTTCATGGCATCGATTCGATAGGTGGAAAACTGTTAACTTGAGTGGCCTGGCCTGGCAACTGGTAGCTCCAAACGAATTCAAACGAATTCACTGGCCCAGCTCCAGCCACTCCCATCCACTGAGAAGCGCTGCGTTGCTTTCATTGTCATCTGATGGAGTTTGGATTTCGTCCTTGCCATCATCTGACGCAACACCTAAATTCGACTGTGCTGCGTCGCTTTCATTGTCATCTGGTGGAGTTTGGAATTCGTCCACATTGCCATCATCTGACGACGCAACACCTAAATTCGACTGGACTTCGGACTCGCCGCCTACTTTCATGGATATGGCTGGGAGGATCATATACATAAAATCTGCTGCCTCCTCGAAGAACCTCATGGTAATTCGGGTGCAGAGCGGCGAGTCAAAGAAGAGTTGCACATTCGGTGTCAACTCTAGATCTTGCTGCATGTAAACTCCCAGCAGCAAGATCCTTCGTCGCACCCGGCCGTTATGCTTCTCAACGTATTGTCGAAGTCCTGCGAATTCCACCTTCTCGAAGCGGAGGTGGTGCTCGTTCGCCCCGGTGCAACACTTGAAGGACGTCATCACCAGGTACCCGTCATGATCGGTTATGGATCCATGGCTTTCAGCAGCCAATCGAAGGGTCCTGAGAAACACAAGTCGAAAGAAGGCACAGAACAACACAAAAAAAAAGAGACATGGGACATGGGGCTGTCTAAAAACCCCGATATCAATCAAATGGTGTTTCCACGTCCACGCGTTATCGTTTTTTTTTCCTCTTATCGTTTTTCCAAGTGCTGGCTTCACACCCTCATGAAACAATTCATATTGTGTTTTCTTTGTGGGATATCACCTTACAACCACCAGCTTCACATCTGTTTTTCGGGGAACAGTTTGCATCTGCAAAGCTTGCTGCTTCGAACATGTCCCATAAACAATATATAATGTATAATGTATATGTATGAGCATCGTTATCGTTTTTTTCCTCTTATCGTTTTCTCGAGTGAGAACTGAACTACATATAGCTAATGGGGGATCATGGCATACTAAACGAATAGGTGCCGGGTTATTATACTCTCCCACATGCACATGCACTGCATGTCACAACCAAAAATAAACACAAGAGCATTGCTGAATGAACTTGACTTTGCATGACAAGTCACTTGGTCCTGCGAACAAACGTAATTTTGCCTGTCAGCGGCCCATCAAAGGCCAGATCTTCGGTTGCATTTGTTGGAGTGACCATCATCCATTCGCTGTGCCTGGAGGAACCGACATGTTGGTACTTGAGGACATAGCATGATGCCGCCATTGCTAAAATTGCCCGGGGCGCACTGGGGACACACTTGCAGGCTGGGGATCAAAAGCTTGAGCTCGTCGTGCACATGCAGCTGCAGGCATGCATGCATGCAGTCTGCAACTGTCCTTCCAATGCACTATGTGGAGAACTGCATTGTTACAACATCTTTCCTTGCATGCAACTGGCCACATCTTGGTTCTGCTGCGAACCCAATTTAAATGAAAAATTGCAAAGAAAAACAAATTGACTTGGCTGCAACAACAGGTCAACCAGTGTGCACCAAAGTCCAAGATTTATGGGGACAAACTCATCCAGCAAGTCCAATATCTCTGTCTCCTCGCCGTGCATGACCATGGTTGGAAAGCGAAAGCCAAGGCTGCTGGAATTCATGGATTTCTCCACCATGATGTACCCTGCCGGTACAAACCTGATGTTGGCATTGGCATGAAATTGGCATAGAATTGGCATGGGCTGATGATGACTCATGGCCTATGTTACATTGTTGCGGCATTCCTTTCAACAACTACTTTTGGCACAGTTGTTTCATTCAACTATTCAACTCTTGGAAAATGCTTGTCTAACACTGCAGTGGCAATATGCTGTTGCCGTTGCCGACCAGAATCTGATTTGAAAAAATGTTATTCATTGAGGACACAGGAGAGAATATATAGATGAGCGTATCACTGCACTGCACTTCACACATCCAAGAGACAAGATGTCACCAGGGGTCAAGTAGATGTAGCGAAGGGTGCTCATCCACCCGCGCTCTGCAGTGTCCATCGATGACACCTCGAACAAAGTTTTGGTTTGAACTGGCTGTCTGCACTGAGCTGCACCGTGTTTTCACTGTTGTGGGTGGGGGGACTGAGACCTGAGAAAATTGAAAAAAAGGCAGCGTGGCCAGGGCCTGGGGCCATCGATTTAGCATCTGAAGCAAATGCAAAGACTTGTAACTTGTAATAATACAATTAATCCAACTCTGAAAATAACCTCTCTCCAAATGCTTGCAAGGCCAAACCCAAGCTCAGCCAAGACACGGTTTCCGGCGACAAGTTTTGGAACCATGCAGTCAATTGCCTGATTCCAGCTTCTGAGCTGCCACCATTGCCACCATCACCACCATCATCAGAATTCGCAACGAGCTTTTTGTCCACCTGCTGCTTTACCTGGGCCAAGGCCAAGGTTTGCAATTCATAGGGTCTGGAGTCAGGGTTTGCAATTTAATTTCATATACCGAATGCCGAATACCCAACTGACCCAAATGGCTGGGCAAACACATACACTCACTCAACAAACTTCAAACACAAATTACCAGATCGAACTTTGAAAACAATGTATGCATGCACTGCATGCACCAATCGAGCCCTTCCCAAATTCAGCCAAAGTCAAAGTCACTTCGTAGAGATGCACAAAATGCATCATGGCCAGAGCTTTGTTTCCCTCTTGCTGATAGTACATGTGACCAAGGCCGGTAGAAAAGAAACCTGCCCACACATTGGACTGTCCGAACGAAGTCCAGCAAGCACCAAGGATCTTGTTCTTCACGTTGTCCAAAGACTTTGCATCAGCGTTGGTCCTGAGCTGGGCCATTCCAAGTCCAACATTCAAGTTTACAGTGGTAGCTGGTAACAGATTTACCAGACCGAGAGGGCTCAACTAATATATATATATTTATTTATTTATTTATTTGTTATTATATATAATATATAATATTTTTATATTACATATATATATATATAAATATATGTATATATATATGTATATATATATGTATATTGTGTATATATATACATATTTATAGTTGTAAATATGTTTATTTATTTATTTATTTATATATTATTTATTATATATAATATAAAATACACTATAATTTATAACATATTATATACTATTATTATATATAATATATAAATTATAGAATTATATATATATAAATATATATGATATTAATATATATATATGATATATAATATATATTATAAACCAAGCTGGCTTGGCTTGACCCCGAGTCTATATGGTTCTAGAAGGTCTCTCTGGAAGTTGGAAGTCTGGAAAATTAAGTTTGACTGGACTGGCCGCTGAATGTGGCCCCCCCAAAAAAAATTAGCCAAACGGCCGGACTCCGGACAGCTGAGAACAACCAACGGTCTATCTATTGCGATTCTGTGCAGTGACAGTGGCAGATTGGATGCTAATGTGCATCTGAGGCTCAAAAAAGATTGCACGGGCTTCACGGCACAGCAACCAAGGCTCCTCACCGGTGTCACCGGCCTCACCTGAATCATCTCCACCAGGGCCATCACCGTCACCACGAAAGCCATGACGTGCCACAAGCTTGGCCTTGAGCAGCAGATCGAAGCCAAGAAACATGGCCACCTCTTTCTCTTGCGGTACAGTCTTGTTTTTGCGAACTGGTCCGATTGCTGCTAGCTTCTGCAAGTCTGATTTCGCACTCGCTTGCTGCACCCCAAACGCTTTTGCTGTTTGGGTTATGAAATCCTTGGTCTCAGTCTCCTGTTGTGGGTCATTCCTGTTCAAGCTCTTTGACAGAACCTTTTTGACTGAGCCTTTTTTGTTGCGCATCAGAGCAGGCTTGTTGCAAACCACCTGGTCCAGGAAGTCATTGAAGGATTCGAAGAACCCCAAGCGGTAAGCAGCCGGGAACATAGAACCTTTGACCAAAACTGGCGGGTCCGTATCCTCAAAGCTTCCCTTTGCCCTGGTCCTTGAAACCTTGGCTGCCTTGGCTTTGCTTCCATCTGCTGCTGGGTCATCACTGGCTGCACTGTCTTCGTGCTGACCTCGCTTTGACTTCCTTCTTCGTCCTGAAGGTTTCGCAGCCTTTTTGGCCTCAGCGGCCTCAGCAGCTTTTCTCTTCTTGCTTTCAGCAGCCTGCTCTTTCTTCAATCTTTTTTCCTCTCGCTCCTTTTCCCTTGCAGGTAGCTGGCAACTGGTGTCAGAATAAACCAGGCAGAATAAACCAGGCAGCCGTGACTCATTAAACTCATGTGCGCAATGCAAAAACGCAATGATACCCAGCTTTTAGTGGGAAACACTGGCATGTAGTGCCCATTGAACAGCACAACCACCACAGAGAAGTGCAGGATGTTGCCAATCACAACTGTTGTCACAAGCATGCCATAACACTTAAGTGAGATTGTTGCATTATATGTTGCAAAGAACTCAAGAACGACACAAGAAACAGTTTCACTTTGTCAAGATCTTGCCGAGTGGCTTGTCATCCTGCTTCTTCAGGCGTTCCTCTTCCTTCTTCTGATGGAGCTTCTCATCCCGGATGATCTTTTCCATGGCTTTCGAATTGTTCACCTGAAAAATGTTTGCCACCGTTTCAGTCACCAGCCCCCTACTGATGGACATCTACACTACACACAACCAAAATCTAGACAGTCTAGTCTAGCCTAGCCTGGCCACTGGCCTCTGGGTTCAATATTCTGTAAGCATGGTCTGGCATGGTCTGATAGGAAGTTTGAAGGCATATCAATCACTTCAAGAACTGGCAATGAGCCAAGGAACCCATTGTTGGCAAGCAGACTGGGCAGCTGTTGCCAGACTTTTGAGGATACGCAGTGAGAAGGTGGCAAGGTCGACATGAGCTTGTAGCTGCTCGAGGCTGGTGCTAAGTGGCCACATGACCTTGCATCATGAATCGTGCAAAAACTGCCAAAAATATGAAATAACTGATTTGACTCAAACATCCTGACAAGGATAGGACTAGTGACTAGCAGCACGGTTTTCTGCCTTCACCTCAAGCCTTGCGCCCACAAACCCAAGGCCCCTGCAGCTCTCACAAAGTCAACATAGCCATAGGTGAAGCACGAGTCAATTTGATCACCAATTTCACCTGTGAGGAACCCATCCTGACTCAGCATCTCCTGATACTCCTTGTTGCGAAGCTTCCAATCACCAAGAGAAAGTTGCTTTGACCTTGATTCGATCAACTGCCGACTGCAGACTGCTGCATTGCACGTCAGAGTTTGCATTCATGCTCGAGGCTCTATGCAGGAAACAAATGTGATTGCAGATGCAGAGTCGTAAACGGTTTCAGCAGGAGTTTCATTGCAACAACTGCCACCAAGCCTGCTGCATGACCGATCCCGCAGTCACAAACCTTTCTGTCCAAAGTCCAAACCAAACAATGCAAGCAAGAGGCGCATCATACTTTTCATCTGTGTCTGCAGGTGGCAGAGCCGCTGTGACTTCTGTTCACAAGGCTTGGGGCAGGCAAACTTGCTCAGTCTCCTTCACGATCTTGTGCGCCTTCTTCAAAGCCATATACGTAGCAACGGTTTCCTTCAACAGAGCCGCTGAGCCGGGGCAGCAAGCCGGGTTACAAAATGAAATTGAACTTGGGACCACAATGTCAAGAAGCAGGGCCCGGCCCGGGCCGGGGCCATCAATAAATTTTGTGAAGCTATGGGCTATGGCGAATTTTGGCAACTACTTGCTACTTACTAACTACGCCTGCCTAAGCTGCTATTCTTACAGGCATACTGTACCATTATGCAGTTACTGTTACTAGTTACTAGTACACATTTACCACACTGTCTATCTATCGATCAACCTATCGATCGATCTATCTATCTATCTATCTGTCCAGCCATCTATCTATCTATCGATCGATCTATCTGTCTATCTATATATCCATCTATCCATCTATCCATCTATCCATCTATCCATCTATCCATCTATCCATCTATCCATCTATCCATCTATCCATCTATCCATCTATCCATCTATCCATCTATCCATCTATCCATCTATCCATCTATCCATCTATCCATCTAACCATCTATCCATCTATCCATCAATCCGTCTATCCTTGTATCCATCTATCCATCTATCCATCTGTCCATCTATCCATCTATCTATCTAACCATCTATCCATCTATCCATCTCTCCATCTGTCCATCTATCCATCTATCCATCTAACCATCTATCCATCTAACCATCAATCCGTCTATCCTTGTATCCATCTATCCATCTATCCATCTGTCCATCTATCCATCTATCTATCTAACCATCTATCCATCTATCCATCAATCCGTCTATCCATCTATCCATCTATCCATCTATCCATCTATCCATCTATCCACCTATCCACCTATCCACCTATCCACCTATCCACCTATCCACCTATCCACCTATCCACCTATCCACCTATCCACCTATCCACCTATCCACCTATTCACCTATCCACCTATCCACCTATCCACCTATCCATCTATCCCATTCCTAGCCACCTAGCCACCTATCCATCGAGCCCCACAATCCACCTATTCCACACGAGCCAACTAGCCATCTATCCATCTCTCCATCTGTCCATCTATCCATCTATCCATCTAACCATCTATCCATCTATCCATCAATCCATCTATCCATCTATCCATCAATCCGTCTATCCTTGTATCCATCTATCCATCTATCCATCTGTCCATCTATCCATCTATCTATCTAACCATCTATCCATCTATCCATCAATCCGTCTATCCTTGTATCCATCTATCCATCTATCCATCTATCCATCTATCCATCTATCCATGTATCCATGTATCCATTTATCTATCTATCTATCTATCTATCTATCTATCTGCAAGATCAAAAACAAAGAAATTCTGCGGGACGTCCTTAAGGTTTGAACATAACAATGTCCGAAACGAAGAAATTCTGCGAGACTTCCTTAATGTTTGAACATAACAACGTCCGAAACGAAGAAATAATGTGAGACCTTCTCATTTTTTCAAAGTTGAAGACAGCAAAAACGAAAGAATTCTGCGAGACTTCCTTCAAAAATGGAAAGTTGAGTGCAGAGCTGACAGCCTCGTACCAATGCGTTTTGCGATTTTTCCAGTCCACCTGTCTAAAGTACTGCGCCTGCCACGAAAAATTGATGCCAGATATGCAACCCCTCTGAGGAAATCAGCGCCCTGAAATTCCAACATCTCTGATGAACATGTCTCTTCGACTAAAAGTGGTCCGAACCCCAGTGTTTTTAACAATTTTGCGTGCACTTTTTCGACATCTCAACTTCCAAAAGTGGTCCGGAGCTAGTGTGTTTTGTGCATTTTGACTTGGAAATGTGCTTCGCGCCACAACGGCGTGCACTTTTTCAACATCTCAATTTCAAAAGTGGTCCGAACATGTGTTTTGTACATTTTGACTTGGAAATGCGCTTCGCGCCACAGCGACGTGCAATTTTTCATCTCTCATCTGGCCAGCTGGCTCCGCACCCGCCACTTTAGCGAGCCTCTTTTCGACCCTCCGGAGCCACAAATCATTGGAAAAACACGGTGTTTCGCGACTTTCCTACCTTTTCGCGCATCTGAATCTTCTTTCTTCTGACTCTTTCTCTTCTATTCTTCTCTCTTCTAATCTTTCTCTTCTCTCTGACCCTTTCCATCTCTGCTTTTTATCTGTCCATCTTGTCGGAAGTTTGACTTCTAAACTTCCTTCGATCATGAATTGGATTTTGGTAATATGTTACACATGTTCCAAAAATCGAATAAAGAGGGCCATAATAATTTGGATACCATTAAAACCACATTAGACGATTTTGGTTTTCATTATAGAGGAACCCCCCTGTGCTTCGTACACCCACAGTTTCCTGTGCTCCACCAGGCCCAGCTGCAACAGAAATGCCTTGGAGCCGCGGCGAATCAGCCACTGTTTTGAAAGACGGCAGGAGTGGATACCAACCAAAAGGGACGATTTTGCTGACAAGAGATGGATACAGAGGAGGCCCGCACATGCGAAGCCTGATTTCAATTGACTTTCCGGCCCCAGAAATGGAACCTGAAAGCGCACATGTGGTATCAGCTGTCTCCGTTCCCTTGCTCCAATGCGGCGATTGCAATGCAGCACCACCCAGGCAACATTCACCAATC